AAATTTGTCATGATGATAATAATAATAAACGCGGAAGTTAGTTATGAAAAAAAAAAAAAAAATACTATGTAACTCTACAATGACGATATATGGTATATTACGATTCGGATTATCTTAAAAAATATTCATTTTTTGTCGTAGGGAAAAAAAAAAAAAAAAAAAAAAACTAGAGATTATTATTATTATGACAAAAGTAAAGTTCGTTAAAAAAAAAAAAAAAAAAAAAGAAAAAAAAAATTACAAAATTTTTAAATGCCTTAATTAATATTACGTAATTTTAAAAAAAAAAAGAAAAGAAAAAAAAAAAATTTACCGCAACAAATGTTAAAGGTTTTTTTATTTAGCAGATAGATTCCAATTAACAACGAAAAAAAAAATTGCTAAATAATTTTAAAATGCGATGAAAAACTTGCTAAAAATTTTGTTAAATTTTCAAATGAAAAACTTGCTAAAAAAAAAAATTTGCTAAAAACCCGAAGGCTTATTTGACACCAAACGTGTATAATATTTAACCCAAATTTAATTCATTAAACAAAACATTTTAACGCAAAATATTTCTCTATTATTATTATTATTATTATTATTATTAATATCGATATCGTTAAAATCAAATTCAATTTTTTTAATTTCTACTTTTTTTTGAGGGGTGGGGAGGGGGTAAAAATTTACGTCAAGTTGTTTTACTCTTAAAAAAATTATTTTTCAACTTAAATAATTTACTCATAATGTTGTTGTTGTTGTTGTTGTATAAGTTAATTACGCACTCAAAATAATAATAATAATAATAATAACTGAAAAGACTAATCATGCATCTTCAATCGGTTAAGCATAAAAATAATAATAATAATAATAAATAAAATTTTATTTATTAATAAAGTTCAACGACACTAAATCGGGTTGAACATACTTTTTTAATGCAAAAGAAAAAAGAAAAAAGAAAAAAATTACATAATCGGTTGTTTCGCGTGCAAAATTAACTTACCTAAATAAAATTTTTTTATTATGCTTTTTAAAGTCAATGGACAAAAGAAAATAAAAATTGTGATAATATATTATTGATAAATGTTACGTTTCAATTTTTTTTTTTTTTTTTTTTTTGTTGTGTTGTCGTTGTCTCTCGTAACTAGTTAACGAAACAAAAAAAAATAAGGATTTAATATAACCGTTATTATTATTATTATTATTATTATTATTATTATTATTATTAAAGTCGATCGTTCTAACGTAACGTAACGTAACGTTGTTTTTTTTTTTTTTTTTTAAATCATTCGTATATGATGATTTAATAATAATTTAAACGTCGTTACTATCATCATTTGAAATTTTTTTCATTTATCCTTTTTCATTATTATTATTATTATTATTATCATCGTCACGTAAATAATAATAATAATAATAATAATAAGGGATTAAAATTTATTAGAAGGATTTAAATCGATTTAATATTTCAAATATATTAATGTTTCATACGAATCCGTTATATTTAGTATCGTTTTACGGTTTAAAAAAAATGAATTTTTCGTGGGGGAAGGGGGGGAGGGGGAGGGGGTGAAAGGGTGAAAATTCTATTGAAAAATAAACAAATTTTAAATAATCCCTACGAGAAAATATAATAATAATAATAATATTTTTGTTTTTTTTTTTTTTCTGGTTGTTTGTGGTACAAAGGATTAACCTTTTTTTTTTTTTTTTTTTTTTTTGTAAAGTTCCCTTCATTTTTTTTTTTTTTTTTTTAATTAACAACCATGCCAAAAATGGGGGTCATTGCTTAATCATATTTAAATATTCATTATGCGTTTAAAAATTTTTTATCTGGGTTACTTGCTAAATGGAAAAAAATGTTTTTACCGATGTTCATTGTTAAATGTTTAAAACATTACGTAATTTTTTCATTAATCCTAATAATAAAACAATAAACAAATAAAAATTTAACAACAACAACAACAAACGTTTTATACGATTTAATCTTAATTGTTTTTAATTAATTTTTTTTTATTACGATCCGCGATTTAAATAAAAGAATTTTCCGTCGATTATTAATTTTACAATCACAATAAAAAATTTCCCCCTAATAATAATAATAATAATACGTAATAAAATTACGGATGTGTTATATATATAAATGATTGATGGCATGACTAAAAAATTTTGGCAAAAAGAGAGTAATATTATGTGGTAGGAAAATTGGCATTATCGTATGTTATTATTTGGCATTACGTAAAATAAAATATCGTCGTAATGTAATTTAAAATAAAACTCTCACGACCATACCCAAAAAAAAATTTTTTTGTGATATCTTACCTGATTTAAAGTGAGATCTAAATTTCTTGCTGCGTTTGCTTGAATCCAGGATGCAGCAAGAATGAAACCTCCGAGAATTATCGAGCTTACGATAACCGTAAAAGCTGCTAATTTTGCTATCCTCAAAGCATTAGAACGAGGTTTCATATATGCCTAAAAAAAACAAACAAACAGAAAAACAAATTATTATTATTATTATTATTAACACAATAATAATTTTTTTTATTACTTCATGAGAGTAATAAAATGATTTTAAATATGGTTTTTTTTAACGTTACGCGCCCTTGAACGATCAGGATATTATTAAAACATTTTTTTTTTTTTTTATTAATACAATAGAATATTATTTATTTATTTATTTTTTTGAGAAAAGAAAATGGAAAATGGAAAAACCGGTTTTTTTTTATTATTTTTTTGTTGACATTGGGTAATTGTCAACACACACACACACACACACGGGGATGGGTTAATATTATTAACATTCAAAAGACATTAGATTATTATGTATTCATGAAAGGTAAAAAACGTGTAAGAAGAAAAAGAAAATTTAAATTTAAACGTGACTTTAGCAATCCGTGATATTTCGTAAAAAAAAAAAAAAGGGATAAATAATATGACGATTCGGCAATGGGAAAACGTCGTGGTTTTTATTTTGGCGGCAATTATAATAACTCAATAACGGATTTTTTTAAAAAAAATACGTTACGAAATCCGAGCCATTTTTTTTTTTTTTATGTACGATTAGAGACAAAAAATTTTCCGGGTAGGATAAGTTTGTGCTTGCGCATGCATATGTACGTATTTTGTAAAAACCGTTTTCTGTAAATGGCGATCGAAAGGGGAGAAAACACGATTTTGTAATACGAACGCCGTACGCGATGTTTTTAAATTATTTTTTCAAAAAATTCACGGTTTTTATTATTATTATTATTATTGTTCGTGTACGATTAGGAAAACAGAGAAACTGTCACGTTTTTTTTTTTTTTTCTAAAGTTTTTTTTTTAATGAAAAAGAAAAACAAACGAATTTCCGTTATCGATAAAACAATAAACGATTATTTCAAAAGCGCCGATTTCCTTTTTATTATTATTATTATTATTATTTTCTAATTACACGTACAAAACAAAAAAAAAAGAAAATGAATATTAAAAAATCAATAAAACATTATAATGACAAAACATAAAACAAAAAAAAAAAAAATTGTTTTCACTCTGACTATTAATGTTTTCACGTTTAACAAAAAAAAAAAAAAAAAAATTGCATTTCACGGTTAATTGTTAATAATTACATAAGGAAACCACTTATGTAAATTTATTTATTTATTTGAATTTTTAAAATAACCGAAAATGATTTTAAAAATTTTGTTGCTCAAGGAGCGTTAAGCCGCGAAAAAAAAAAATTAAAAAACATGAAAGTTTAGATTAATTAACCAATAATAAATAAATTTTTTTTTATTATCATCATCATCACCCCGACTTATAACGACATTAATAATACTTTTCCAACCCCCCCATACCTCCCTTCTACCCTCCCCAGCATCATCATCTCTCTCTATCTATCTTAAATCAAAATTTAATTAAATGTTAAATCTGACATTTGTTCGTATGTCTACTCACACACACACACACACACAATGAAAGTAATTCCTTTTATTAAGAACGGTAAGAAAAAAATTTTATTAGATGAACTTTGAACTTTGACATTTAAAAAAAAAAAAATCATGACTCTTAATATGTAATCCCTACGTTGTGAGCAATAGAGCATCGTGCGAAAAAATTTTCTTTTGCGTGGGTTAAAAATTGTCCGCGATAATTAACGCGAAATTTTATTTATTTATTTACTGTATGACTTTTTCTTAACCTTATCGAAACTTGTGTTCGATTTTATTATTTGTTTATTTTTTTTACACGAAAAAAAAATTATACGACTCGAATAACGTATAAGTCGAAAATTAATGTGACTTCTTTCCTCACATTAGGCAATTCTAACAAACAACAAACAACAACTTTCACTTTCTGTTTCTTTTTTCTTTTTTGTTCTTCGACATCTAATAAGGCAAACCCTTCCCTTCGTTTCACACCTGATTCATTTTTTTTAAATAATTTTATTTTCTCTCCATAAACAAAATACTAAAAACCCAAAACAAAACAAACAAAACACAAAACAAAACAAAACATAAAATGAACACACAATAATAAATTCATTTTCTTTTTGTAAAAAAAAAAAAAAAAAGTATTTTAGAATTATGGAAAATACTAATAATAATAATAATAATAATAATAATAATAATAATAATAATAATAATAATAATAATAATAATAATAATAATAATAATAATAATAATAATAATAATAATAATAATAATAATAACAACAATAAAACGAGGTTAAAAAAAAAAAAGGAAAATTTATTTAATCTGGTTTATTTTATTTTCTCTTCGCTACGCCTATGATACCTTAAAGAAAGAAAACTTTTTACTCATTATTATTATTATTATTATTATTATTATTATTATTATTATTATTAATTTTTAATTGATATCGACAAGTTAAAAAAAAAAAACATTATTTATTATTGAAGTTGTAAAAAAAATTATATATATATACACGTTTATATGTGTAACGGAAATTAATTAATTAAATAATTTAGGTTAAAAAAGAGGGGAAGGGAGGGAAGGGGAAGGGGGAGAGAGAGAAAGGGAGAGGGAGGAAAGAGACGAAAGGTGAAATTTCATATGAAAAAAAAAATTGTTACATGTTTTTAATTAAATTACATTACTTTCGTTAATTTTTTTTTTTTTTTAATAAATAAAAAACATACTGATTAATTTTGATCGTTGTTATTATTATTATTATCGTCGTTTTATGCATTAACGTAAATGAGTACGCGTTAAAATGCGTAAAGAAAAAAAAAACTAAAAAAAAACTTTCCCCGTCGCGTAATTTTTTAAAATAATAATAATAATAATAATAATAATAATAATAATGAATATGACAAAATGAAAATTTCCGTGAAACAATAAAAAAAAAAATTCGAAATAAAATTATTTTTTTTTTTTTATTAACGTGAAATAAATGTAAGAGAGAGAGAGAGAGGGGGGGAGGGGGAGAGAGAAATAGAGAAAAGTATAAAACAAAAAGTAATAATAATAATAATAATAATAATTTCCTTTTGGCAATGCATTATTTATTAAATTCAATTATTATATTTTGTTTGGGAAATGTCGAAGGTTAAAAATCATTTCACCGGAACGAAAGTTTTTAAGGTTGAAATTTTATTATTTTAAGGTTAAACGTGAAGATGATCATTTTATTATTATTATTATTATTACTCTTTCTTTTGTTGCCAATAATAATAATAATAATAAGCGAAAGCTTCATTTTGTTTTTTTTTTTTTTTATTGTACGAACCTGAGAATTTAGAAATTTTTTTTTTTATCAAATCATAATCAAAACAAATTTTTTGTGAGAAAAAAAAAAAAAATTTAATTTTTTTATTTTTGTTATGTTGTCGATCGTGAATCGGCATCATTTTTTTTTCTTCTTCTGCCACGTCTTATAATTAAAATTTTAAAATTTCGACCGTTATTCGTTATTATCATTACGTAAATTTCATTTACCAGGTTTTCTTTTTTTTTTTTTTGTCGACCTAAAATAACACGTGATTTATTTTTTAAAATTATTATTATTATTATTATTTAAATCTTAAAATAAATTAAATTATGATTTTTAAAAAAAATGGCGGAGAATATACAATTAAAAAATATTTTCTGAGGAGTCATGAATTTCGTAAAACATATTCAAGTAAATATTAGTTACGGTTATTTGCTAGCGTTTATAATTGTTAATAATTTTCTCCAAGGATGAGTTTTTCTTAACGAACGCAAAAGAAAAAAAAAAATTTAAATTAATAAATAATTTTTTTTTATTGAAAATTTTATTATCATTATTATTATTATTATTATTATTTGCAACCTTAATGATGTATCTTGATTTAACACGTTAATTAACTATAAATTTTTTTTTTTTAAATAATTTATTATTATTATTTATTCATTTTAATGTATTTAATATAAATCTTCGTCTTTTTATTTTTTTTAAATTAATTATTAAATGTTATTGCAAAGTATTTTTAATAAATAAATAATTAAAAATTATTACTTATTACGCATTTAAAAATTAAATGCGTACACGCATAACCCGCGAGTTTTTTTTTTTTACATAAATAAATAAATTCATGCGTGCATACATATCTTATGTAAGATCCCGAGTTAATAAAAGCGTAACTTGTATTATTATTATTATTATTATTATTATTATTATTATTATTATTATTATTATTATTATTATTATTACGAGTTTTTTTAAACTTTAAGTTTTTTTTTTTACGTGTCAAGACACATTTTTACCTTCCAGGTACGAAGGAAAATTAATTTACGAAATTTATTTTTCGTCTTTCCCCCCCTCTCTCTACCTCTCTACCTCTCCAACTCTTCCAATAATTTGCAAATTAATGTTTTTTTTTTAAACAACGCCGTTGGCACAACATAACAAAATATTAAAAAAAATTAAATGGGCGATAATAAAGTAAGAAATGTGAAAATTGGAAGGGAGGAGAAAAAAGAGAGAGAGGGGGGGAAAGAAGGAAAGAGAGAAAAAGAATGATAGTGAGGTATAGAGAGAGAGAGAGGTAGAGAGGGAGAGAGAGGGAAAGAGAGAAGAAATTCGCATTTGTAAAATGAATAACGTTAATGACATTATCATTATTATAACTATTATTATTATTATTATCATTTATCAATTAAATGGCAATTTATCAGTGAAAATTTTTAAATTTTATTTAATATAATCACGGAAAAAACAATTCGTAATATTATTATTATTATTACTGTCGACTGTAAATGTGAAAGTTTTTATTACCGAATGAATCATTATGAAATGATTAATAATAATAATAATAATAATAATAATGATAATGATAATAATAATAATAATAATAATAATAATAATAATAATAATGAAACAGTGTAAAATTATCAAATAGGAAAATTTTAAAATTTATTCGTCGTTGTTGTTTTGTTTTTAAAAATTAACAAAACCAAACCAAAAAAAAAAAGAAAAATTTAAGGAAAATTTAATGAAAATTTT